CATTTGAGCAGGGTGTTGAAGAGTGATTAACAGTCTTTAGAGTTGAGGGTGGGACATACCTGGAATAGTTCTGAGACTGACTTTCACAGGACAACAAAGAGCCAGAGGAGTTCCTTGGAGAAAAAACTAAAGAGTGACAGGAGCACTTTCATGCTGGAATACCTCATAGGAAAATTACAGAGAGTTGCATGCTGAGAAGAAATCAGATAAAAACATGTTCGATTATGAAGGGGATAAAAGAATAAACGCTTTTTTCTTCCCACAAAATTCTGAAGTAATAGATCTGGAATTAGAATTCAAAGAGGCAACTAGCACAGGAGGATGTTTCAGCTCTGTACTATTATTATATTAGGAGTTACCCTCGTGAAGACAGAAAGAGTGAAAACAAAAAGAAACGGAAGATGGTTTAGCTAAATCTATAGGTGATTGCTACAGATACTCAAAGACACAAGCTCCTTGGATGAAGCCACAGATAAATGAAGCACATTGCCTAACTTCAGAGTTTGACCTCATAGACTGTAACTCTGAATTCACAAATGTCCACTGGTCCTAGAATACCTGAACAGATGGCTTATTTTCATATAACATCTTCCTGTTCTTCACTAATATTCCAATAAACATATTTCATTACTAAATGATCATTTTAAGAATCACACTATGATAGACTTCATACATTTTAAGGGATTCATAATATTTTGTTATGTTGATGCCATTAGTAAAAAGCTTTTTCTAATTTTATTGGAATTTAGAGTAATTTCCAGATTACTATTTTTTTACATGGTGACATATGTGTGCTTGTAAGTTTTTACCTCCATTGAGCCATGTATCACGCGGAACGTTACAGCCTTCATGACTCCAAATACATATCCACAGATCTTTCTTCAAAAGCATATTCTCAGTTTACAACTTCACATATAGTATGGAAGTGCACCTGTTTCATCATAATCCCTGTATTAAGGGATTTTTTAAAGTTTCTTTGTAATTTAATTGATAAAATAAGTATAAAATGGTACCTGAAGTTTGATTTGATTTGTGTTTATTTAAAGTTTAGAAAAATTAATATATTTCTACATGTAGTTTTTTAAAAAAAGAACTACAGTATGATACCAAAAAAAGAATATTATAAATTTTAAGACACGATGACCTTGAAAGCATTTTAAAATAAAAATTCACACTCCAGAAGACACAGAATTTTTGTTTATCAGCAGATCCTACTCACTTCACTCTCGTCTATTAAACATTTCTACAAACTCGGTCTGGAGAACCCAGAAAAGTTTGCGTTTTCCCCCCTTGTATGCCTTTCCTGAATAAGTGTGGAAGTTACTGTTTGGAGAAAGAAGCTGGGATTCAAATAGGCCTCCACCTGCCTGGTTATGCAAATTGAGAGAGGTCAGTTACTTACTTCTGTGACTCTGTTTCCTCATCTGCCAAAGAGGAATAATAAGTTTTTTTTTAACAGCTCACAGGAATGCTATGAAGGCAAAATTACATAAATAACAATAAATCATATATAAGGTTTAAGATATAATTGAAAGAACCCTTAAGATATACTGATCTGTGTGTGTGCCTGTGTGTATGTGTGTGTGTATGCATGTGCTATATTAACCAATATTTACTAAGTCCAAACCCTGAGGTGAAAATCCCAACATTATCTATTCTTCAAATTCTGTAATCTTTACTCTTGTCATCTGGTAATTGTTCCAAAGCTCTCCAAAATCCAAAGAGTAGTAACTCTGTCCTAAGCACCATCCCATTATTGATGGGCAGTCCTAATCCATTACTACATCACAGCATAAGAATTCTGTGGCTACCCAGGGTCTTGTGATAATATAATTAAATCTGAAACAAGAGCTTTTAGCTTTCTGTTTTCCTCAATGTCTTCTCCTACTTTTGACTCCTGAAATTCAAAGTTATATTTTATTTTTTAGGTTATTCAAGGATTATGTTTGCCCCAGTAATTTCTTTAGATAGTTACTGTCCTAAAATCAATCTTGTTGACTTGAGAGGATGAATTTAGTGGATTGGATAGAGAATTGGGAGTAGAGAGTTCTTAATTTTATGCCATGGTTCCTTGACTTGCTTCCCAGATGTGAAATACTAGAATCGTTTCCTATATTTCATGGGGATGGTTTATGGATATGCATACTATCATTGTATAAAGTAAATAATAATAAATCACTATCTACTGGTCCAAAAAGTCTGTCATCACCTAGATGGGAAGAGTAAGTACCCTCGAGGGAGCTCTGTTACTTCCTGGATGGATGGATGCTTCTGGAGAAGGCACCTGGCTTCTCTGAGACCTAGAGCCCTCCAACTGAAAAACAAGAATAATGCTTGTTCATAGGATTCAAGTACCTGCCATAACTCCTGAGACATATATATCTTTGAGAAGTGTCAAACGATATAAATACGTCTTCTAGTACATGAAATTTACATTGTTAAATTTGAAGATTCTGAAAATAAATGTTCATATTACAGCCTATTAAAATAGATCTTTTCTAGAGTATATTTTGATCAAAATTATTGACTGTATTACTAGAATATATATATTATATAGTTAGATCAGAAAAAATTCAAAATTCTTAGTATAATTGTTTTTATAGAAAGGAAGGATATCTTTATTTTTTCTTTTACCACAAATACTGCAAATATTTTTTACTTCTGTTTGGCAAAACACCTCACACTTCCCAGAGAGGAGAATTTCATTGTAGATATTCTGTAAGTTTAAATAGCATTGCACTTCTCATTCAAATGTTAGACTATTTTACAAGACAGTGCAAAAGTCCTAAAAATAAATATCAGATTAAAATAACTTTGAAATACATATGTGACTTTTATTTTTTAATTTTGCTGGTCTCTGTGTTTATTCTATTAAAGGGAAGTATTCTTACATCAGGGGAATTAAGATAAATTCTGTTCCAGAGATAAGTTTGCCAGAATCTGCCTGAGCCCCATAAGAAATGCCATGTCACCCGTGGCTTAGCGGTTAAGTGCGCACGCTCCACTACTGGCCGCCCGGGGTTCGGATCCCGGGCGCACACCAACGCACAGCTTCTCCGGCCACGCTGAGGCGGCATCCCACATACAGCAACTAAAAGGATGTGCAACTATGACATACAACTATCCACTGGGGCTTTCGGGAAAAAAAAGGAGCAGGATTGGCAATAGATGTTAGCTCAGGGCCGGTCTTCCTCAGCAAAAAGAGGAGGATTAGCATGGATGTTAGCTCAGGGCTGATCTTCCTCACCAAAAAAAAAAAAAAAAAGAAAAAAGAAATGCCATGTCAGTGGGGAGGAAAAAGGTAAAGAACAATATCTCTGGAGTTCTTCTCCCTCACATGAAACTCTAGCTCTGAAAAAGCTCCGGAAATGATTTAGTTCCTATTTCCATAAACACACTCTTTAGTGGCTCAGCCACATTTTCGGCAAATCCAAAAATAAACCCAATCTCTTCAGTTAGTCATTCCTCACTTAATATTTTGAAATATGATACTGCTTAATGTTTTCCAAAGTTTGAATACAGACCAAAGTTTTAAAGTAAATGAGACCATTTCATAAAGAGTGTATACATATATATATATATATATGATAACATATATACACTCTGCATATATATATATATGCATAATGAGGGGGAAAAACAGCAAAATATAAAAAAAGTACAGGCTATAATGTCTTAGAATTGTAGCCATTGGATTTCAAACCTTTTTTGTAATTTTAAAGAATATCATACATTTGCTATTGAGGTTTATTTAGTTAATCAAGAGATAAACATGGTGCCTTGAACCAACAACTTAGTCCTTACATTTTGATATACTACACAGACTTGAATTATTTCAGAGTCTCACACTAAAGTTTGGACATAATAATGTCCAATGATATTTTATTTTATTATTTTATTATTTTATTTTTTTTGCATATTTCTTTTTTTAAAAAATTTTTTGTTTATTGCAGTAACATTGGTTTATAACAACCCAATGATATTTTAAACAAATGCTATTTAATGCTTCAAAAAATATGAAGGGTACGCATGTAATCTTTTTGAGACAGCTGACATGATAGTGTGCACTATGATGTTTTAGAAAGCATCATAAGGAAACAGATGACTGAACTGGAATCATTTCTTTTCTCCCTCTCTCTTCTCTCTCACATGTGTTCCCCCACTTCCAATGTCCTGTTCGCACAACACACACATGTCCTGAGGTTCTTTTGCTTCTCTTGAGAGCATGTGAGAACAAAAACATCTTTCCGACCAATCTAGAAGTGGCAGTTTTCTCCCGGTCTACAGGGTTAGGAAGAGAGTTGAAAAGACTGAGTGGCAGTCAGGGCTATCGGGGAGCCATGACAATAATATTGCTCAGGAGACAGATCACAAGTCGTATCCTATTCTCTGCTGTATTCTTCAGACTTCACCAAGGAACATTTTAGCTAGACTAAGTCACAAAATCCCCCAAACTAAGAAAATCATTAGACATACTGAGCTTGGTGAAATAAAACATACATTTATTTAGCACTAATTTCTTGGTGAAAGCAACACGTTATTCACTAGCATTAGTCCACACTGTACCCATGTGCAAATTAGAAAAAGACACCTTGTACTAATTTGTACATGAGCAGACACATCCGGGGAAGACATGTGGCTTGCAAGTGGAGCTGGGCTGAATTCCATCATCCTCTTGTCACCTTAAGTAGGCAGCCTCGTGCAGAGCATAATCTGAACAACTGGACATGGGAATCCTATTTATATATATCTTTCTCTTTAGTGCTTTACAAAACATAAGACAAAAATAATATACCTAGAACATTTATCTACAATCATTGCAGAATAGTATTGTGTCGGATTGAGAATGTCAGATATTCTATAGCAAATACCAAACTCAGTAAAAATTCAGGTGAGCATAAAATGTCACTTGATACAGATTCCTGGTAATAAAGCTGTCAAAGAACAACCAATGAAAGTCACTCTCCTTGTTTATACTAACAGGAGAGTGGAATACTTACCACCATCTTGAACCGTAAAATGGAACACATCACTGGTGGCATTAGCCCCTTCTCTTAAAACATAGCATATTTTCATGTCATCAATGTCAGCTAGAAAATAACCAAAGAACAAGGTGATTAATTACTAGGGCAAAATTGGTGACTCATTACTTATGGTAAATCCTACTGGCTGTTATTTTCTGTAACCATGTTTAAGGCCCCCTTCTCCTAAGGGAAACAGTGCTATCTTATTTCTCATGTCTCTAAGCCCCTTGATTTCAGCTGTCAAGTGGAAATCTGACCCCTTACACAGATAAAAAGAGTGCCAGAGTTAGGTTATAATAATAGCAAGGTGTTGCTGCTCCCAATGGTATTTGCGTGTTCATGCACCAAAGAAGTGACTGTCTAAATCTGGAATGTCAGACTCCATGACAGGTGGGAAGGGAGATATTTTGAGGCATGGCAGATTTCCTGGCACTACTGAAACCACACCCTTTGCCTCCCTGCAGGACTGGCCCTAAGAGGAAAGAGGTTCCCCCGCCTTCCCTCAAGCTAACTTTTCTTACCTCTTGCGATATATAGCAGGCTGTTTTTAAGTTCTCCAAATTTCAAAAGAAAAAAATCAAGGAGATATTCTTTTAAAAATCCCACAGATTGAAATAAGTATCATGACCCAATGTCAGAGAGAACTTAGAACAGAACACATCTAATAAAAGCTGAAACCTTTATTCATAGTAAAAACTTATTCTGCCTAAGAAATGCTCTTTCTGTTGCGTCCTATTCTAGATATCAAATTCACTGGCTTAGTTTGTTTTCAGTATTAACTAATATAATTTTTAAAATTTATTCATCCATTTTACCAGTTTCTTCTCCTTAATGATGCCACATAGACAACATAATAAAACAAATATTCCATTCTGTGATACTCACAATAGACCGTTACTTGATCTGGGCCAATTAGTAAGTAGTTATTTCCATGGCTACATAAAATCAAGATTATAGATAAAAATTGCTTCCACAATGGCACGTGTTGTTTATTTGTCTCGTGTGTGCTCTATGGTTTTTCCATCTCCTAAGAGCTCTACTAAGTTCATGGTATGGATTTGAAAGGCATTATATATAAGAAAATGATTTCATGGAAGAATCGTGTTAAGAGATGCAAGGTATTAGAACCAACAAATTACTCTCTGAATTTCTATAGCTCCACTTTACAGGTGTGAAACATACACTCTACCTCAGCTCATCCAGTTTTGAAAGGTGACTTGCTTACAATCAGACATCTGAAGGGGGAAAATCTGATTTAATGGTTAATGGTACCCTCTTGCTAATAGAAGTACTTGGAGGTGAAGCAAGTTCAAGACGTTTTGATCTCCCTCAGCATTTCATTTCTAACTCTACTATAATTTTCCCAATTATTGCCTAGCGTCATTTTTATCTTTCTGCATGGCTACCTTTCCTAGAAGACTGAAGATTTCTGGGATTTTTTTTTTTTTACTTTAACTTCCCATGGTCCTTTGCTCAGGGTCTAATATTCAGTAAGGCTCAAATGTTTCTTAATTTAAAATGAACGAGCCCAGAGGTCTGGTGGACGGCACGTGCATCTCTACCTTCGCAAGTCTGATGTTTCTGCAGGGCTATGCAGTGAAGCCCCCCCGCACAGCTCTTTACCTGTTTACTCTTACAACTCTTAACTTTTACGACCTGTAATTTATCACTCAGGAATGAAGTGAACTCTGCTCTGACTACACATCCTTAGCATAAGGACGACGTCCTCTGGTCATTCAGGGAAGACTCTTTTCCCACATTCCCATTCCTTCTTTAGTTTTATAAGAAAATCTAAAAGCTCTATTATGAGAAAAAAAAAACTGTCTAGTATAACCTCTGTATCAGTGTTTTCTTAAGCAAAAACTATATATTTAGGAAATAGTTTCATTGAAATAAATTAAGACTTCAAAACTGATTTTTAATAACTTTTTTTTAAGTAAAGAGTACACGAATGTAAATTATATGACATTCAAGTGTCAAATTTTCCCTCCAAGTTAGGGCGTGCAATATTGATTAGCTGGAACAAACTAAAACCCTTCTCATTTTCTTTAAAACTCTGTTAATAATCCATGGTTCAAAAAAGGGACCTTTTAAAAATCTCAAATAAGTAAAGACTTTGATCATACCACTGTTATTCTACAGGTACCTCTAAAAATAACATAAACATAAATATATATAAACACTTGCTTTTTAAGACACAGAAGTATTAGAAAGATAAAAGCCTAGTAGCCAAAAAATGTCGTCTTCTTTAAGCAAACATTTAACAATTAACTAGGTGTTCTTCTAATTGTTAAACATGCATCAAATTTATTCCAGTTTATCTACACAATCATTCCATGGGGTTTTTTAAATTCTAAGTTCATGAACACACCTGGTGACCACACCCTGCTTCAAACTCTTTGGGGATATTTCTGAAAGTGATTTATAAATGATCTCCCACAAGATAGCATTATGTACTTATTATAGAGAAAAAAATCCAGGTACTTGAGACAAGAGATTTAGACCTGGGTAGAGGGGGCAGGGGCACCTTGGCAGAGAGGCAAAGTTTGAAATAACTAAATAATTTCCCTGATTTGTCTAATTCTACCTTGTTAACTTTTTCTAACAACAAAATTGAGTAAGTTTTAGAAATGAATTAATTTTTTTCTCTTAGGGATCATTTGGTCAACCAATTTGAGAATAACCTTCTCTGGCCATGTATGCTAAATTGACTTAATTCAGTGCATTGAAAATCCATCAAAACATACCTTAGCTTATCCCTTCATAACAAAACAAAAACAAATAAAAAGACAGTGTAGTCCTCACTCTAGACACTGTTTTCATTTCCCTTCTTGGAAGAGCAGCATGGTAACCCTGGGATGGACCTTTCTCCATTTTTACTCACTTATCTAATCTCCATAAAATAACTGCTATAACCCAACTCCAGCCCCAGCTTGTTCAAATGAGCGCCGTGTGATTAAATACCAGCAGCTTTCCTCATCAATATTTGGTTTCTTATTGGAATGCGATAATTTCTCTTAAAAATGTATCTTCACTGTTTACAATAAACTTACAACTACTTTATATGTACAGATGACCATAAAAAGTGATCATGGTGAGTCAAAGTCAGTGAGAGATGGAGCAATGGCCTGTAATGAAATCGCATAATTTTAGGGTTCAATCTTTAAGAAATAATAGTCTAATATTTTGAGCTGTTGGACTTGGTCCATAGCATTTAAATTAAATCATTTGCCTATCTTCAGCCAAAAATGCCTTTTTAAAAAATCTCTAAAATCAGATTCCTTTTTAGGTCAGAGGAGTGACTTGAAGTAATGTTTTCTATCCTCTAGTATATTCCTTTCATCCTCTTCACTTTCCAAGAAAATAAACCTGTCTAAGATTGCATGGCATCTCTATCCTCAGAAAGCCTTCACACAAAGGTTTCCTGCTGGTCTGGCCTGACACTTGGCACTCTGAGGTTTTCCTGTCCCTGCAGTCCCTAGGATATATTCAGGCTTTCAGCCAAGAATCAGGAGGTTGGAGTGTGGGGCTATTTGCCAGCATCTAAAACAGAGAAACAGTTCACTTGAACACTACACTTTGCACCATCCTTGTTTATTAAAGCGTTTGTTATCTAAGAGAACAACACTGCCGCAGGAAAGGAACACCTCCACTGGGATGATCTGGGGTTAAACTCCATCTCTACCCACAAAGCCCACAGCGGGTAGATCTAGTTTCCATCTGACATGGTGAGATTTTCACGAAAGCAACTCAAAGCCCTTTGTAATGAAAGTCGCACGTTCTAGAGAACAGAGCCCTGACTCCCAAGCCAGCATCCTGACTGGGCTTCTCCCTTCAGTCATGACTGACTCTGCAGAGGTCACCTGCCCTTCCCGTCTCAGGCTGTGTCCACACATGAAGAAAATTCAGGTTAGCAAAAGTGTTTTAGCCTCAAGAATGCAGATACTTGATGCAACCAGCATTTTGTGTCTGAAACAGGGCAGAGAGGAGGTTTGAACAAGGAAATAATTTCCTCCTTCTACTGTTAATCTTGTTAACACATCTTCATGTTCTTAATAATGAAGTGGATGTATATTTTGGTAATGGATATGTTGTCTTCTTATGCATCAAGTATTCTCTTTTTTGTGTGTGTATCATAGTAACATGCCTCGTACATATAATTGTTATAAATCTAGATAGGTGTTTACCTCTTACGTCTTTGGGCAGGTGTTTGCCTAAGTCACGAAATATTATGAAAGAATTATAAAATATACAAAGTAAATACAAATATGTCTTTTAATTTTAGTTACAAAGTTCCTAACACCTATACTAATAATAAATCTAATAATAAAATCTAATAATATTAGTATTAGAACAATGTTCTCAAAAATCAATCAAAGTAATATAAGTTGGAAGGCTCTATTTGAATAGTAGGTGATAATAATAATAAGTGAATACATAGCATTTAGAAAGCACATCCTTCTCTAAGGTACTAAATGCCTCATGCAGGCTACAAAACACGCTGCTCAGAGGATCAGGATGACAAATGGAGCAGAGCTAGAAAGCCTGCTTCAATTTTAATTCACCCAAGTCTGGCTCCTGCTTTGGCACCTTCCCTTGCTGCTATCAAAATACATCGATACTCCCTCTACTGCACGTCACACGGCAAGTGGGACTTATGGCAAGAAGGGGGCTGCTGTCCCAGGAAAGAGAGTCCCTGTATTCTCCTTTTCCCTTTATTTCCTTTCCTTCCCTTCTCTTAGACTCTAACTTGATGCTCTACTTATGAAGTTCTCAGGGACAGCCATATCCTCAGGAAATAAGACCTGGAATGTCCTTTGGTTATAAGGAAAGCAAAGGGAACCATACCTTGTGTAAACTGAGTGACACTGTGGTTGCCTTTGCCCAGGTTGATGAGGTATCCATGTTGAGGGGCCTCTGTCACAATAAACCTAAGAGAAAAACGTAAGCTGTCTCTGTCCTCCACTTTCAATATTTTGCTTGTGATCATGAACCCCAAGTGGCCAGTGACCAGAGTACGAAGTGTAGAGGCCCCTTTGTTCACTGCAATTTGGGGGACACTATTGTCAACAGCTAAGACCTGGATCTTCATCATTTGGGGTCTTCTTGTTTCAAATACTGTGTCAGGAAAAACGTAGAACTCTGTATGGGAACCATCAGTCACTGTGAAGGAGAAGCTGTCTTCACTTGACTCAGTGCCATCATGTCTGTAGCTGATTAAGTTTTCATTCAAGTCTTGCTTGGTAAAAACCACGGCAGGTCTGGTGTTGTTGAATAGCAGTTGACCGTGAACAGGCACCTGGGTGACAGTGAATTTCAGGAGTTTGTCAGGAGTATCTCTGTCTTCGACAGTGAGTTCAAAGGGAGTGATCAGCTTGTTTTCACCTTCGCTGACAACCAGGTTATGGATGGTGACCACTGGCTTTTTGTTGTCCACATCACTAATGGAGATACGGAATGTCCGGAAGACAGGGTTTCGTCCATCGGTGACTTGAAACTCAAAACTGTCCATCTTGACCTCATCTTCAGCTGTGTGGATGTAGTAGATTTTGTTGCCAGCCAGTTGGAGCTGAGTGAAAGATGTGATGGACACTCCGAGTTGATCTGTGCATTCTAAGTGACCTCTCACGGGAGCTCTGGTGATGGTAAAAACTAAGTTTTCATCAGGACTGTTCAAATCACTAGTGCTTAGTAGGTCTGTTGTGAGGGTGACTTTACCACCTTCTTTCAAGGACACTCCCTTACTTATCACATCAGGGAAGACAATGTCAATGCTCCCAATAGACACATAAAAGTAGCGATCTATGAGGGCATTTATTCCATCAGTCACATCAAATTTAATTAGGTCTCGAATGCCCTCTTGCCCAAAATGGACATACTGAATTAAGTTTCTGTCCACTTCATCCTGGGTAAAATTCATGCCCAGTGTGATGTTTTCAAACGCACCTGTAAGCTTTTGTCTCTGTAATAAGCCATGTCCTGGCCCATAACGAATAATATAAACCAGGGATTTGTCTTCAGAATCTAAATCACTTGCCATTAATATTTTGTTGTTGATAATTTTGGTTTCCCCAATTTCTATTTCTAGTCCATTATTGATGGTCATTCTGGGGGTCTCATCATCAACAGGGATAACAATAATGAGGACCATCTTTTCCACAGAGTGCTTACCATCTGTTAGTTTAATCATAAAACTGTCTTCCTGGGTCTCAGAGTCATCATGCTCGTAAATAATGCTGGAACTCTCTATGATCTGGTCCAAGGTGAAGCTTTCAACCAAAACCGTTCCATTTATCAGCTGGTTCATGATGTGACCATGAGTAGGAAATTGGGTAATAGTGAAAGTTAAGTCATCTGGAGGAATGTCAGCATCAGCAGCATTGAGGATGGGTGTATCGATCACCAGACTCATGCCTTCCATCACCATAAATTCCCTCATAAATATTTCTGGCTGTTCATCATTGGTAGGAATGATTATAACGGGGAAAAAATGTCTCTCTGAAAAATTAATGCCATCAGAACAACGAAAGATAAATCGGTCTTCCACAGGTTCCACCCCTTTGTGAACACTCTGGACATAGTTAATATGACCCTGCCTGAGATCTTTCAGAGTGAAGGCACTTATGGCAATTCCCGCTCTTGATTTTTCAGAGCCCGGGGCTGGAGAAATGTTTTCAACATAACCTGAGGTAGGCTGAATAACTATAATGCACAAGATGTCATCATTTAGGGAATCAATATCTTTAGCACTTATATGCATTGAAGTTATAACACTTTTATCACCTTCCATTACTATAAACCGTTCACCTAGAGAAATTTCTGGGGCCTGGCTGTCAACAGGGAGGATGGTCACCCACACAGTAACTCCTTGGATAGTATTACCACGTATTCTCCATTCTTGAGACATATCCGACAGACTCAGGTTGAAAGAGTCCTCTTTGGGCAATAGGCCTATCTCACCACTAGTGTGGGCATAGACGACAGAGCCCTCCAAGATGTCCCTTTGGGTAAACTGCTCTGCTGGAACTCCATTGACCAGGATTTCTCCATATAAGGGTGGATCTTCTAAGAGGAAAGTCAACATCAAGTCATCAGTGTCCTCATCAGTCCCCTTGATGACATTGGCAGTGATTTCAGTAGCCCCATTTTCTAAAACATCTAGATATGACCCTAGAGTACCAGCAGGAAGGCGATGCATGGGCATCTCATCATCCACTGGCCGGACATTCACCCTGAGAGTGATGGGCACCACATGGTGTCTGTCGCTGACCTCCAAGGAGCAGCTATCAGTCAGAGACTCATCCCCACTATGGGCATAGGAAATCCTACCCTGTTTTATGTCCTCCAAGTGGAAAATCCCACCTACATGCAGTATTTGCCCAGACACCCTTATGTGGCCATGTTTGGGTACCTGTGTGAGAGTGAAAGAGATGTGGGCTACATCAGTGTCTACATCATTCACATGCAACTCAGTCTCACTCAGGATATGGTGGCCCTTCTCCCGAACAGTGAAGCCAGTGTTCAGAATCTCAGGTGGCTGGTTGTCCACTGGCTGCAAGTAAAGGGTGAAGGTGCCTGAAGCCACATTCCCAGCTCGGTCCTCTACCTGGAATTGGAACTGGGCCACTCGGGCTGCCACTCCTAGTTCTTGATCTGGAGGTCTGTAAGCAATTTTATGGTGGTTGATCTGGGCCTGTGTAAAATGGGCTACCGCAACTGAAGGGTTGTCAGTCAGGACCAAGGTGCCCAATGGGGCTGGTGAGTGGTTTTCATCTGTGTCCATTGGGGGCTGAGTCACCGCGTAACGTAGTTCTCGGTCATCTGTGTCCAGGTCAGTGTAGCGCAGCCACTTCTTCCTCAACGGTGTGAGCTGGGATTCCTGTACCACCATCCGAAGGGGACAGCCGCTGCCCAACTCTGGAGGGAGGCGATCCACCGGATGAATGCGAATCACAAACCTCTGTAGCTCAGACTGATTAGGGGGGTCATGGTTATCCTGGACTCGAAATGTGAACTGGTCCATCACTGGGCCCGGACTATGGGGCCCAGAGTGCCTGTAGAACAGCCTCCCCTCCACTATGTCCTGCTGCCGCCACTCTGTCACTGTTTTCTCATAGAATTCTCCCTGTTTCCTCCAAGGGCCCCTGATAAGCTCCTCCTCCTCACGGGGAGGATGGACTTGGCGGAGAAGCAGATGCCCTGTAGTTGAGGAGGGCGACTCCAGCACAAAAAGCAGTAGAGAGTCATCTGAGTCCATGTCAGTCGCACTTAGAGCGAGGGGCAGGATGGGCACTGTTTCACCCTCTGCCAGTGTCAGCCCCATGTTGGCATTGAGGACTGGCGGCTGGTCATCCACAGGCACCAAGGTGATAGGAAACAGGAACTGCACCTGGTGCCTGCGATCTCCGTCCACCATTCGAAGCACGAGGTTGTCACTCAATGAGCCATCTTTGTCATCGTGATGGTAGACCACCTGGCCAGCTGCTAGCTCAGCTACTGTAAAGGTCTTAGGAGCGGAGCTGCCACTGGAGGCACCCAGAAAGACAAGGTGACCATGCTGTAGCCCAGCCACCACCTCCAGCTGCACTGCCTCTAGGTCGTCCTCATCGCTGATGACTAAGTTTTGTGGTCCACTTCCCGCAGGGCCTGTGAGGGGCCGAGACTGGCCCTCATAGAGAATGAGACCAGTATTCCGGGTGACCACCGGAGCCAGTGTGTTCATGGGCTTCACCACTACCATGAAGGCAAAAGGATCTGAGGCTGCTCCTTCTGGGTCCACTACCTCCAGCTCCAGCTCAAAGAGACGCTCCTGGTCTGAGTCCTCAGAGGGAGGCTGGTAGGCAATTTTCAGGAGGCGCAGATCCCTCTGAGTGAAGGAAGAGAGGGGCAGGCTGCGATCATCAGTGCTCACCAAGTAGCCCTGACCAGGCTGGAATGGAGAGGTGAGATTGAAGATCAACAGGTCAGAGGTAGACTCAGCGTCCTCAGCTGCCAGCATATCTGGGGTCAGGGCGGTCAGTACGAACTGGTCCACCTCCATCATCATCATGGCCACAAAACTGGGCTTAGGTGCGGTGTTCTCGGCCCCTCCTCGAATTCTCACCAGCACCTGGAAGTGCTCACGTTTCAAAGCAGGGCTGCCCACAGGAGATCCTCGTGAGCGCAACTCCACCACCATGGGCACCCAGTCCCTGTTTGGTGAACGGCTGGGGGCTGTGTGGCGGTAGCGCACGCCTAGCTCCTGGAAAGCTTTGCACGCCATCAGGAGAGGCTCCTGGGCGCCCCCCTCGCTGGCTCGTGCCGGGACCTGTGGGTAATGGAGGAGTTCCCCATAGCGAGGCAGCGCGCCCAAGCCCGACAGGATGCCCACGCGACACTCCTCCGTCTCGGCCTGGTAGGCGAACTCCAGGCTCCGCGCATCCAGGGCATTGCTGGTTCCCAGCAGCTCCTCCACGACCAGGGGCAAGTTCCGAGTCACAACCTCCAGCTGGGTGAAGACCACCTCCACCTCAAGCACCAAGGGTAGCACTGCCGCCCCTCCGGGCGCGTCATAGCGCAGCTGCAGCCGGACGCGATCCCGCGACGGGCTGCGCGCGCCCAGGTGCGAGTAGCGCACCTCTCCAGGGCCGAAGTCGCACGGGAAGCGCTTGGGACTCAGGCGGCCGGGCCGCTGGGCCAGCGCATCGTTGTCTAGCACGGTCACCGCGCAGCGGTCCCCCGGCTGCACCTGCAGCACCAGGTCGTGCAGTGGATCCAGCCAGACCTCACGGCCGAAGGGTACGCGGAGCCCACGGTTCACCAGCACTATGGTCTCCTCGGCGGGGACCCCTGCAATCCCCGCGAGATCAGGGGATAGCAACGCCAGGCCGGGGGCCGGGTGCTGTGCGGGGACGCAGCTTACCAGTGACAGGAGAAACAGCAGCACCAGCAGCAGCCGGGGCGGCGGCGGAGGCATCGGCTGAAAACTGGTAGGGTTGGCTGCGTAGAGCGCGCGGGAGGAGATCCCAGGGGTCTCGGCTGCGTGCATGATCCGGCTGTTAGGGCTCGGACAAGTCAGCCTGAGCGCGCGCAGTCAGTCCTCGGGAAGAGAGCGAGAAACTCCTCCGAAAAGTGCCAGGAACGCCGCACGCTGCCTGCGGGGACCTGCTGCAGCCGAGGCTGGGCCAGAGGATGGGGGAGCTGCGCGGCGCGGTCCGGGCTGGAGCTGCAGCGGAGGCTAAGCCCTCCCGGCCCGTCGGGCTCCGCCGCTCGCGGTTCTGTCGCGCGGAGAACTGAGTCCCTTCGCTCCTTCTTCCCAGGTCCCGGGACCCTGGACTTTGAGGGAAAGCCCTCCCCTCGCACCCCCTTACTCCAGTCCTCCCAGGAGGCCAATCGTCGGTCCCGAGAGGAGGCCCCCAGTCGAGGGTTGGGTCGTGATTTCTGCCAATCAGCTCCTAGGGGCCGAGGCGGGGAAACCGCGGGGAGGGGAGGAGATAGAAGGCGCAACAGGTTGTCTTGGAAGTGAGGGGACCAGCGGCCTGGAGCTGCCCACCTTTGCTCGCGTTCCGCTCTGGGCTGCTAGAGTTGGGGCTCCAGCAGGGAAACTGGAACACGCCACTGGGCTAGATCCAGTTCTTCAGCTGCCTGCGGTCCAGGATTATCCATTTTACTTCCCATCCCCCAAATTGATTGGAATCCCGCGCAGGGGTGGTAATTTCTCACGGAAACTTGCAAACCCGAAAGGAAAGGTAGACGCAATGCCGATTGAGTTTGTATCGAAACCCAGAGCAGTTTGGGGAGAAACTGGGGCATATTTGCAAACGAAGGACTGCTGGAATTAAAAGCCAACGCCAGAGCAGGTTGCGCCTCTCCCCACTCCCCCCTACCCCCCGCCGCTGCTGTCGCCTCATAAATTACAATGGGCGCAGTGCTTGGATTGGTGAGTTTTTAACAAGCCCCTCCTTTGCAACCAGAGTTCACAGAGTAAAAGGAAAAAAGGGCATTTGGAATGCGTGAGAAATGCAGTCTGATCAGAATCGCGAGACTCGCACCAAAGAATAAGTTCTAGGGAATGTAGCCCCAGGCTCTCCCAGAGCCGCCGCTGTTAGGGTAGCTGTCATTAGAGACGTTCCTGTTTTCTGCGCAGTAATTAGACCAGGTACAAACTAAACCCACTCGTCAGCATCACATTTCTTTGCATGCCAAGAGAATTGATAAATATCCGGAGGGCGAACTAAAATAGATGAACTCCCGTTTCAGTCAGCCTGTTTGGAAGTCAGAGCTTGATGTCTTCCTGCCCCCTTGTGTTTGTCCGGTTTCAGAAGTGTGCAGATTCCCTTTCTGAAAGGTTTTCTAACTGCCCCTCCCCCCCGCGCCCCCCAAAAAAACCTTTCACAATTAAAACCCAACCATTTTCAGATTAGTTTCTTGAGCAGTCTTCCTTATACTGATCAAAATGTTTCGTTTTGCATAATGTTCTTTTCTCTGCAATAATACAAATCAGATTATTAATTGGAATATAGAATTGGAGTAATGGTCATTCTACCCCTTTCCTGATTAAAGATATTTTAGATTTGAGAAAGAAAGGAGTGTAAGAAACTCTTATGCCCTTTTTAAATTTCAGTCTCAATTGAAGATGTAAGATGCGTATGTGGGTACATTTCAGTAAGAAGCATTTATCCTTTTAACCCTTTGTGTCTTTAGCCTGAGCTCCTCCAGTCCAGGATTTTGATCCCTGCCTGACACACCGTGAGAGCTGTTTTCCAGGCCACAGCACAACCTCTGTAGTAAATGCTGCTGGGAGATGTCAGATTCTGCTCCAGGAAGCGCACTGGGCAGTGTCTGCCACTGGGAGTTAAGATGGAAAGTTCTGAAATCTTTCAAAAAGAAGCCAGAGAGAGAGAGATTAATTTAAAGAAGCCACTCATCCAAACAAATAACATTTAATAATTGAATATCAATTCAGCTTATTCTATATATTTTGTACTTTTGGGAAGCTTTTACGTCTTGCTTAAAATTGATGAATACATTTCACAATTAAGTACAAAATGAACATCCAGGAACATGGAAGGGATGTGGCTAATATTTTAAACATGTGAGAAAATCCCCTTCGGACTCTTCACCAATTTCCAATTTGCTTTGGCGTTATTATTTTATAATTTGTTAGGATTATTTATTTTTGCATACAGAATTCAAATTGCAATGACAAGGGAAAATTCTATTATTTCCTGTTTACGAATAAAACAAATAGGAAGATTCCAAGTGAAATAGAACATCAATTTCCGAATATGGCTTTTATATATTTCAAATTCTAGCTATGTGTTTTGATCTAAAAGTGTCAACTGGAAGCAAAGTGGCCCTTATTCAGGCACTGTGACTCTGGGTGTGTTCTGACCAGAACCAGACCAACAGCCTGACCCCTGATGCTTCCCAGTGGCTCCGGGGTTTTCCTTTCTTCCCTTTTAAAGTCCACCTCTGTTTGACTTGCAAGCAGTGATAAGATCAGCATTTGAAGTATGGTAGTATGCCTGAAGGGCAGAGTTCAATGTTTGTTTCATGGTAACAAGGATGGAGGTACGCATTTATTTTTAAGTAGCCTTAGGAAATCAATGAACTATAACCTTTTTTGACTTTTTAATTTAGCCTACCTTCATTGAAGTGATGGAATGAGTCTTAGGAATTATTATTATTTTTTTTGGTAAGTGTCTTAGTTGGGTTTTTTAAATCACATAGAAGATAATGCTTATTGTTATTTGCTTAAATATATTTTGCATTGATGACCATTGATAAAATAGTGAAATAGTAAATTCCCATCTGAAAGCAAATATTATTGATGATGATGATCTCTCTTTAGGACAAATACCTCAGTGTTAAAAGATTTTTATACTTAAATTAGCAAGAAAATATTATTTTAAGGCTAACATTCTCAATATTATAAGGGATAAAATAAGTTGGCAAACTTGTAATTTTTAAAATCTGAGCTAAATTCTTCAGTTCTTACTTTCTTAAAAGCCTTTTAACACTCCCTGTATGTACTCTGAGCAAAATATCCTTTAAAATAAATTCTTAAATTTGTTTAACTTATGAAAAACAACCAAAATGTCTCTTCAAATTGACTTAAAGCTAAAAGTATTGATTGTTAAAAGTCAAAATTTTTTTTTTTTTGTTAGGAAGATCAGCCCTGAGCTAACATCTATGCCAATCCTCCTCTTTTTTTGCTGAGGAAGACTGGCCCTGGGCTAACATCTGTGCCCATCTTCCTCCACTTTATATGGGAGGCCGCCACAGCATGGCCTGATAAGCGGTGTGTGCATCAGTGCACGCCAGGATCCGAACCCAGGCCACCAGCAGCAGAGCACGCGCGCTTAACTGCTACACCATGGGGCGGCCACCTCAAATGATTTCTGACCTAAGATTAAGCACCAGAGAACTTGTTTCCTAAAATAAAGGAGGTAATGTGATGAATTTAAGATGCAGGCAAGATATTCAGGCAGAAATTGGATGGCAGTCTGGAACTCTCAAGTCAGACTGGAGCTAAAGAGACATCTGGTTAAATTTTAAATGTTACAGTGTCATTACAGAGTTTATTTCACTTTCCTTATGTTCCTCTATGGGCTCGTAGGACTCCAGAAGAGGAGACTGCCTCATAGGCACCTTAGAAGTACTTACAGGTGAATGATTGAAGCGTTACGCCAAGCATCTTTAACAGTTCTCCACAGAATTTTATTCTCTGATAGCTTGAAAACCATGGCTTGCCTATAAACACCAAACTTGATGGATTTCAGATCAGTGCTGAAGGGGTAAACAGCCCTGGGCTGATTGATTAGGAGCTGGGCTCTAGCCTTGGCTCTGACATCCACTATGTGATTTGCAGCAGTTCTCTTTCTTTTGCTACTATGGTCTCCTCAACTGTAAATCAAGGGACTCAGGCTTTGTGACGAATTCCCCTTTGGTTTTGGTGTTTGGTGCCATAAGACCAGATTTATGGATGACCTGCCATTTTGCTTCCTCATGTTCTATGGTCAGCGGCAATAGTTTTCTTTCTTGCCAGAAAGACAGACTTTGTTAATAAAAAAATGTGTCACTACTACTAGGTCAGAAAACTTAGAACTCAGAACTCATGCCTTTTGTCAACTGATCAATAGCTCCTTTTAAAAATATATGGAACAACATTTGCATTTATTGATGTGGGCAACTTAAATACAACATCATTAAAAAACTATTTTTTTAACCAACAAGAAAATTAAAATAAAAATCTAGCAATATAAAATTAAATTAAATTTCACTATGAGGATAAGTGAATTTTCAAGATGGATCTGTTATTAGGTGATACACATAGCATCACAAACACCCAGATTTTTCCAGACAAAGCTGTGTTCAGTTGTGCATCTACTATGGGGAAGAAGAAAGAACACTGGACTAGGAGCCAGAAAACCTTTTTTTGAAGCTGGCTTTCCCACTTGCTTGCTTGGAGGTAGGACAAGTCACTGTCTCCATCTTTAAAAGATGATTGAGGAGGAGGTAGAGAAGGTGAAAATATGGCCTTTACTATCCTCGTGAAGTTATTGGAAAGATGAAATAACAAAATTATATGTATTTATGCATATATATATATGCAAAGTGGAAATGAAGAAAAATGGTCATTGTTTTCAAACAACTTTCTATATCTATAAATATATAGGTAGACATATCTATATATACTGTATAGACAGGTAGAGATATATTCCAAATTTTTACTAAGTAAAAATGGCAAACTTAGTTTCTTTTAGGTTCTCTTTATCTCATTTTCTGGACTTATTTCTTAGTATCTTATTGGTGAAAGAATGAAACGTTTGATTATGATTGTAATGAATAATACTATATACCAATTATATCTATTAGTTGTTCCATTAACTTTCCTCTCTTGCACTTCTAATCTGTCTAGTTGCTTCACCTTTGGTTAAAATCTTGCTTACTTTTTAGTATTTTGTAGAAAATCTCCCTCAATAGCAATAGCCCCTCAACCTATGCACACATCTCTCTCCTGCATCTTTCTGAATCA